AGCTCCACAGATTCCAGAGAGATCAACACTCAACTCATTTTTTGTTTTATACACTTAATATGACGGCAAATCTCGACAAAAACCATCTCAGTTCACTTAAAGACATCATTATTTCAAGCCAATTAGAATCTATTACCGTAAATGGAAAATGGTTCCAATTCACACAGAATGAAGGAAACAAACACCAAGAAAATCTGTTTCCTGTTTGAAAACAGCAGATTGCTCAGATATTTCTCTTCTGTCCACCCTCCATCATGGAGACTAGAGCTGAAGGACCCCAACCCCAACCAGGAGGAAATAGCTTCCTTTTTTCTATTTCCCTTTTCAAGTTGAAACTTAAATAAGTTTTAAAAAAACACTGCAGCAATAATACAGAGGGAAGTTTCACTTTAAAAAAAAATCTATTCTATTTTCTGTCAGTAAACTTTATTTATAAAGCACCTTTAACAGGTGAAAGTCATTACAATAGAAAACAAAGTTACCAGAAACCTCACTAATAAAACAAATCGATGACTGTATAAACATGAAAGTTAGCTTTTCAATTTAAACTTGAATAAGTAAAAAAAACAATGCAGCAGTTATACAGAGGGACGTTTAAAAAAAAATCTATTCTGTTGTGTGAGTAAACTTTATTTATAAAGCACCTTTGACAGTTGAAAGTCACTACAATAGAAAACAAAGTTACCAGAAACATCACTAATAAAAAAAAAAAAGGATGACTGTATAAACATAAAAGTTTAAGTGTTATGAGGTTAAGTCGTTTATATTTTGCACATCGCAACTTTTTGGGGAGTTTACTTTTACTTTGGATCCAACCTTCTCATCTCACATACTCATGGATGGTTCAGTTCTTAAGTCACGTATTCCAGACAAGAACCAGGAGGAAAAAGCTTCCTTTTTTTATTTAGCTTCTCAATTGAAACTTAAATAAGTAATGCAGAAGTTTACAGAGGGACGTTTTAAAAAAAAATCTATTCTGTTTTCTGTCAGTAAACTTTATTGTAAAGCACCTTTGACAGTTGAAAGTCACTACAATAGAAAACAAAGTGACCATAAACATCACTAATAAAACAAATGGATGATTGTAAAAACGTTTTATTGTTATGAGGTTAAGTTATAACCCAAACCAGGAAGAAAAAGTAAATAAGTAAAAAACAAAAACAATGCAGCAATAATACAGAGGAATGTTTAAAAAAAAATCTATTCTATTTTCTGTTCTAAACTTTACTTATAAAGCACCTTTGACAGGTGAAAGTCACTACAATAGAAAACAAAGTTACCATAAAACCCCACATTGTGAAAACACAAAGGTTTTAGTGTTATTAGAGCTTCCTGACCAGCTCTTCTGCGTGTGCTTCAGGGCAGATCCACCAGAGGGAGCAGGAGATCGCCGAGCTGAAGCAGAAGATCGCGGAGGTGATGGCGGTGATGCCCAGCCTGTCCTACGCCTCCGACGGGGGCAGCCTGAGCCCCGTGGCCCCCCACTACTCCTCCAAGTTCATGGACAGCAGCCCCTCCTCCCTGGACCCCAACGCCTCCGTCTACCAGCCCCTGAAGAAGTGACCGACCCCCGTATGGGTCACTCCCACGTTTACGGGCCCCGACAGGTTTTTGCACTTAGC